AAATGAAATACCACATATTCTCACTCATAGGTGGGTGATGAAAGATGAGAACACATGGACACAGGGAAGGGAGTACTAAACACTGGGCTCTATTGGGGGGAATAGGGGAGGGACAGCAGCGGGGGAGCTGCGGGGGGATAGCCTGGGGAGAAATGCCAAATGTGTTTAAGGGGAGGAAGGCAGCAAAACACACTGCCATGTGTGTACCTATGCAACTGTCTTGCATGTTCTGCACATGTACCCCAAAACCTAAAATGCAATAAAAAAAATTTTTCAATTAAAAATTTGAGAAAAATTTCCTCCATCAAAAAAAAAAACTACATTGAGATACCATCTCACACCAGTTAGAATGGCAATCATTAAAAAATCTGGAGACAACAGATGCTGGAGAGGATGTGGAGAAATAGGAACACTTTTACACCGTTGGTGGGAGGTAAATTAGTTCAACCATTGTGGAAGACAGTGTGGCGATTCCTCAAGGACCTAGAAATAGAAATTCCAGTTGACCCAGCAATCCCATTACTGTGTATATATCCAAAATTTAAAACGATTATAAATCATTCTACTATAAGGACACATGCACATGAATGTTCATTGCAGCACTGTTTACAATAGCAAAGAACTGGAACCAACCCAAATGCCCATTGATGATAGACTCCTCTAATTGGAGCAGAGACTTGGCTGACACCAATGTGCCCAAGCATTGATCTCCTTTGGCCATGAATAGCCTCCAAAATGATACAGAATAGCTGGGGTCTCTGCAAAACCCCATCCTTAAGCCTGGAACCACAGCCTGAAGTGAAAACAGCTGACCCCATTTTTCCACCCAAATGTTGCCTTTTTGGCCCCCCACCCCATCATGTGCCCATAAAAGACATCAGCTGGCAGAGCAACACCAGCAGCTGAGTGGTGAGCACAGAAGCAACTGAGCATCAGAGATGGCGGATTATGTGGCTACTTTAGACAGTGCGGCTTCAGAGAGGGACCTGGCCAGAGAAGACTGAGCTTCAGGGAAAGATCACCTTCCCATCGCCTTTCCAGCCTCCCTTTCTGCTGAGAGCCTCCCATCACTCAATAAAATCTTCCTCATGCATCGCCATTCAAACAGTTCATGTCATCTGATTCTTCCTGGACTCCAGACAAGAACCCGGGTGTTCAGAGATCAGGGACTGCTACCTCAACCCTCTGCTGAGCTGGTAGGCACTGGCCATCCCTGGATAGCAGAGCTGAAAGAGCATTGGTTGTAACACGCTTGGATGCTGCTGTGGGGCCCACACGGAGCCTGCTCCAGCCAGAGAGAAGTGACTGTTCATTTGTTCCGGTTTCCACACTCACTCACTCACATGCCCCCTCCTGCAGGGAGTAGCCAGCACCCGGCTGAGGAAAACAAGCCACTCCAGTTCCTGCCCACAAAGGGCATCAAGGGAGCTATCCCGTCTCAGGACCATGGGAACCAGTGCCCACTATTGAGACTTACTGTGGGTCCCTCCTGTGCCATCAGGGGAATAGGTACTGATGTGATCCATGCAATTTACATAGTTCAGAAAATGCAATTTCCTCTCTCTGGCCACTCCAGTTCCTGCCCACAAAGGGCATCAAGGGAGCTATCCCGTCCCAGGACCATGGGAACCAGTGCCCACTATTGAGACTTACTGTGGGTCCCTCCTGTGCCATCAGGGGAATAGGTACTGATGTGATCCATGCAATTTACATAGTTCAGAAAATGCAATTTCCTCTCTCTGGCCACTTCATTTTCTCCTCCATCCCTGAGAATCTGACTGTCCACCCCATCTTCAGCTCTCCCTACATCTCCAGGAAGATGTCTTGGGCAGTGATACAGTTTGAATCTGTGCCGCCACCCAAACCTCACGCCAAATGATAATCACCAATGTTGGAAGTGGGGCCTGGTGGGAGGGGATTGAATCATGGGAGTAGAATTCCCTCTGTGCTGCTGTTGTCAGCACAGAGTTCTCATGAGAGCTGGTTGTTTAAAAGTGTGTGACACCTCCTCCTGCCATTCCAGCCACGTAAGACGTGCCTGCTTCCCCTTCACCTCGTGCCATGATTGTAAGTATCCTGAGGCTTCCCCAGAAACCAAGCAGATTCCAGAATCGTGCTTTCTGTACAGCCTGCAGAACTGTGAGCCAATTAGACCTCTTTTCTTTATAAATTACCGAGTCCGGTGTTTCTTTACGGCAGTGCATGAACAGACTAATACAGGTGGCATTTTCGGCATCTCCAGGCCAGCTGTCTCTGCAGTGCCTGCGTGGAGTCTTGGAGAAATACTGACATGTCCATTCCCAGGTTGTGGTGGGACTTGGTGCTGTGGTAGCTCTCTTGCCCCTAAAGTCCAGGGCATTTGCTCTTTATGTGGTCTTTTTGAAGCTCCCTCACTCCTTTCAGACTGAGGACTACGAGCCATGCCACCCCTCTTTCCTGGGATTTGACTGCACTGACAACCTTAAGGTATCTTTACACATTAAAAACTCAACTTGTCCAAAAGGAAGCCCCATTTTTGCTGACAAATACCAGCTCTATGCATAGCCTGCCCCTTCTCAATTGACCATGTGCCTTCTCACTCGGGGTAGATTTTTTTTTGTTTTCTGTTTTTGTTTTTGTTTTGAGACAGTCTTGCTCTGTCACCCAGGCCAGAATGCAGTGGCATGATCTCAGCTCACTGCAACCTCCACCTCCCAGGTTCAAGTGATTCTCCTGCCTCAGCCTCTCAAGTAGCTGGGATTACAGGCACCTGCCACCACACCTGGGTAATTTTTGTATTTTTAGTAGAGATGGGGTGGGCAGGCTGGTCTCGAACTCCTGACCTCAAGTGATCATAGTGGCCAGCTGGTCTTGAACCCCTGACCTCAAGTGACCCACCTACCTCAGCCTCCCAAAGTGCTGGGATTATAGGTGCGAGCCCCCATGCCCAGCCTTGGGTAGATTTTGGAGTCATCCTTGACTCCTTTCTGTGCCTCACAATCACACCAGCTAGGAAACCCAAGCTCAGACTGTCTGGAATCGCCCCACACTTCTCCTATCCATGGCTGCCACCTGGCCCAGGCCACCTGGATTCTCATATGCTAACTGGGCTCCATGCTTCTTCCTTTCCTACAACTACTCATGCACAGTGCTTGGGGTCCCTACTGCCAGCTCTTCAGGGGTCTCTGTTACAAACCTGATAATGGTTCCCTACTGCATTATGCAGGGAAACAGCCAGGTCCTGCAATGGCTCCCAGGCTCTCTTTGTGTGACCCCTCCCCCAGAACCTTTCTGTTCTCACCTTTCTCTGCTCCACTGTGGCAGTCCCACTGACTCCCTGTCCTCTTTTGACTTTGCCACACCTACTCCCAGCTGGGGGCACTTGCATGAGATGCTCTCAGCCTGGAGCAGCCTTGCTCAGACAGCTACAGGGCCAGTTCTCTCACTTCCTTTGTATCATCCTGGAATCACCACCTTCTCGGAAACTTTTCTTCCTTGTCCTCACCCACACACATGGCACACACATACCAGCCCTTCCTACCTCTTTTACCCCAGCCCTTACTGCATCCTCACACACCAGGCCTCTGCCTCCTTGTCATGCTCATCACGAATTACCAGCCTCTCCTCTTGAGGAATGGGGGCCCCAGGAAGCAGGGGTCCTTTGTCTGCTCTTCTCACAAATGAATTCCTGGTACCCACAATGCCTGGCTCATGGCAGACACCCCATTCATGTTGGAATCACTGATGTCTCCCCAGAGCAGGCTTTGGAGTTCCCATCAGTGAAGGGCTGAACACAGGCCCTCAGGGCCTGTCCTGCATGTCGCACTCAGTGTCAGCTGGTGCCCACTTTGTGCTGTGGCCATGTTTGGCAGCACCATGGCAGTTTAGGACCTCCACGAAACTGGGCCAGGAAGGGTCTCTGGGATGGAAGGAGTCTGGCTGCAGATGCTGTTTTCATAAAGAAGCAAAGCCATGTGACAGCCAGGAAGCTGAGGCTGAGGAGTGGCAGCTACCAGTGGGACAGAAGTTGCAGACAAAGCCCCTCTGTTGATCTTCTAGAAGGTTCTTTTTACCTCCAGGTTCCTTGTTTTCTTCTCCGACTCTGTCCCCATGCACAGACACATTGCATTCCAACACAGTCCTGCAGAGAGCCACACCAGGGCTCCAACTTCAAAACTGCTTCTGGGCTCAGGAGACCCTAGCCCCGAGAGAGGATTGCCTGCATTCTTTCTCCCCTGAGTTTGGAGGTTTTCCACCATTTAGCTGCAGTTCTGGGGCCTCTGCCAGGCATCTCTTCCCCAGATTGGAAGAAGATTCACCATTCCCCTTCCAGGCTTAACTGTGTCATCAAACTTGTTGATAGAAAGCTGACTCCCAGGCTGATTCAAGGCTTGCTTGACGAGTCACTACTTCTTGGAAATAAATCTCAGTGATGAATCTGCAGCAGGGCTGGATGTGCCTTCCTGAGAAACGTCCGCTCAGAAGTCATTCATCCAAGTCCCCTTAAACCCCAGCCCCAAACTGCCTCTCGCATCTGCTTCTCACCAATGCAGGGTCATCAACGCCATCATCCAGCAGTCACCCGCAAGGCTTCCTGGTGGGAGGGAGCCTGTGCCCAGGCAGGAGAATGAGCACCTGAAGCCCCTCGATCCTGAACAGTCACAGATGTTTCAGGAACCGGCCAATCTCTCCAGAGGGAAATCACAACCTTTGTCTTGCCTTTGCTGAGTCAATCAGGAGAAAGGATCCCACCCTAAAGCTTTCCCACCTCTTCCTGGAGCTCCCAACCCAGAGAAGGCCCTGCTGGGCTGGGGAGTAAGGAATGAGGGGAGCTTGGATTGAAGCCACTGGAGAGAAAGGAGCTGTGAAGAGCAGAGCAAGGGAGCTGTGCAAAGAAGAGCTCACAGTCCACTGCCTTGGTCTGAATCGCAGCGGCACCACCCCTGCTGGGCGACCCCCTTCGCAATCTGCAGTTTTCTCATCTTTTGAATGGGATCCCACATTTTTTTTTTTTTTTTTTTTTTTTTTTTTTTTTTTTTTTTTTTTTTTTTACAGACAAGTTATTTACTTCTTATTATAACCTTGGGCCCTTTTTTGCCCTGTTAAGTGGGGGTAGGCCAGGGGAGCCGGGCCCAGCATGCATCCCCACTTCTTTGGGGGCTGATCGCTCCCCCAGCTCTGCTGGGTCCCAGGGCCATAGCATCAGGCCGGTGAGGGCAGAGGTAGAGGTGGGAGAGCAGGGGAGAGAGCCTGAGGAGCCACAACGGGGCAGACAGAAGCGGGGGCACGGGGACAGGGACCGTGACCCAGAGCATCTGGGTCCGCGGGGGCCCAGCAGGCCTCAGAGCAGGCGGCAGGCGTTGCCCACGCTGTTGGCTGAGGTGTCAAGGTCATGGCTGTAAGGGGAGTCCCAGTCCCTCAGGAAAATGGCCTCCAGCTGGCTCCGCAGGCCACCCCTCCCGTTCTGTGTCACCAGTAGCGAGGTGCCCGCCGTCTCTGTGAAGTAGTTGCCTGACCAGTTGGAGGTTCCAATGTAGGTGGCGCGTTCGGTCACCATGTACTTGTTGTGGTTGACACGGGCATATGGGATTCGGGCCTGGGCCTCATCCGCAGGGACCACGAAGAGTTTCACCTGGATGTCGGAGTGGGTATGGTTGTCACGCAGGGCAGCCAGGGAGAGCAGGAAGGCCCGTATGGATGGGTCCGAGTGTCCCCAGCAGCTGACGAGCAGGCGCACCTTGACACCACGCTCATAGGCAGCCCGTCGCAGCTCGTCGTCAATGGCAGGCCAGAACCTGCGAGGGTGGGAGAACTCCAGAGTGGGCAAGTAGTTCATGACTGCGATGTAGATGAAACTCCGGGCACTGTCCACCACGTTGTGGGACAGTCTAAGGCTGTTGTAAGAAATAGTTAAGATAATCCATCTGAACAAATTAAGGTCTACTGGTGCCAAAATACGGTATCTGACTCTGGCCAACACAAGCACCTATTGGGAAGACACAGAGATGTGAGGTTTATTGCTGAGTTTAAAATGAGAAAACTGAGGCCAGCACAAAAAGATTAAATGCCAATTTATTCGGCTCCCAGTCAAGGTTCCATGGCCCCAGGGAAAAAGGCCAGAGAAGTCACGCCCAACTGCTCTGGGCATGGGGTTTTATAGGGAGTGAAGGCGTTTGATTGGCTGTGGAGAAACAGGACGTGGACTTGGCAAGCCGCTATAGGTAGGTAGGCGGGATTTCCAGACAGGGCAATGTGCTATTGGGCAGGTTTTGACAGGGCTTTCCAAGGGAGGGCTAGGTGCTGAGTGCAGAGGAGATTTTCAAGGGCAGGGTCAAGTGCCGAGTGCAGAGGGGATTTCCAAGGCGGAGCTAGATGATGGGCATATTCTGGTGATGTAATTTCCAGGAGGGGAGAGGGATGGACGTGTCCGAGCTCCCAGCAAGACAACCAGCCTTACAAGAGGCACTTGTCTTTGTAAGATGTGAGAAAAAAGAGAAGAACGAGGTTTCAGAAGGTATGGGGACCAGACGGGTTCCTGGCACCTGGGTGGCAGGAACCATCTCCTGAGGGCATCCACAGATATCTTCCATTTCTGTGAGAATCGCATTTCCGGGGAGTCAATTGTCTGAGCCTGCATCACATGTGCAGCCCTGGCCAGGTGAGGGAGGAGCCTCTTGATTGACAGATCCACCAGACTGCATGCAAGTCCAGTGGAATCGCTCCCCAAAGCAATGTTAAATTTACTGGAACTTAGGGGAATGGATGCTTGGGGGGAAATGGAGGAGCCCATGTGCCCCTCAAAGGTAAAGCTCTTTCCATGGTGACCAGAGCTTTGTGAGGGGTCAATGCAGGTAAGCAATTCTTACTGTACATGCCAAGCTTTTAAGCCAGGCTTTGGCAAAGCAAGACAGAAAATGGGGGAGAGGGAAGGGTCAGGGTGAGAGCCATCCCTGTGTTCAGCAGCAAATCTGCCAAGAAACTGTGAAGAACTGCCCCCATCACCCTGAGAGGTGAGACCAACAGACCAGCAACCTAATTCTGTCTTCCCACTGTGCAGCCCTCGGACTTCCCAGAGCACATTGGCATCACTGTTTCCTGTGATTCTCCTCCATTTCCTCCCTTCTGCCACTCCTGCACCCCCGGAGATAGCCCAGAATCTCAGCCAGGCCAGGCCAGGAGCTGTTATTCCCATCCACATGAGAGAAAGTCTAAAGCTTTGTGTCTGGCACAAAGAAAACACTCAAATGGTTCTGGCTTTTCTTGCTGTGCAAAGTAAGGCCCTGAAGAATAAGTGACTTGCTTTAAGAAGCAAAGCAAGATGGTTCCAGGTGGGGGCAGTGAAGGGGTGGGAGTAGACCTCCTTGAATCCTGACCTGGTAAAACTGCCCATTCCCACAGCTGTCTCTCTAGTTCTTGCCCTAGTTTTTTGAGCCAGTCTGGTGGGCTGGTAGGTTAGGAGCTGTATTAGGCCATTCTTGCATTGCTATAAAGAAATACCTGAGACTGGGTAATTTAAAAGAAAAGAGGTTTAATTGGCTGGCAGTTCTGCAGGCTGTACAGGGAGCATGGTGGCATCTGCTGCTGGGGAGGCCTCAGGAAGTTTCCAATCATGGCAGAAGATGAAAGGGGAGCAGGCAGGTCACACGGTGAGAACAGGAGCAAGAGGGAGAGTTGGGGAGAAAATCAGGGGAGAGGAGGTGCCACTCACTTTTCAATGACCAGATCTTGTGAGAACTCCCCATCATGAAGACAGCGTCCAGCCATGAGGGATCCACCCCCATGATCAGACACCTCCCACCAGGCCACACCTCCAGCACAGGGGCTTACAAGACAACATGAGATTTGGATGGGGACAAATATTCAAACTAGATCATTCCACATCTGGCCCTTCTCAAATATCAGTCTTTCTCACCTTGCAAAATACAATCATTCCTTCTCAACAGTCCCCCAATGTCTTAACTCATTTCAGCATTAACTCAAAAGCCCAAAGTCCGAAGTCTCAACTGAGACAAGGCAAGTCCCTTCCACCTATGAGCCTATAAAATCAAAACCAAGTTATTTACTCCCAAGATACAATGGAGGAATAGGCATTGGGTAAACATTCCTGCTCAAAAGGGAGAAACTGGCCAAAAGAAAGAAGCTGTAGGCCTCGCACTAGTCAGAAACCCAGCAGGACAGTCATTAAACCTTAAAGCTCTGAAATAGTCTCCTTTGACCTCATGTCTCACATCCAGGGCACAACGGTGCAGCTCCACTCATGTGGCTTTGCAGGGTGCAGTCCCCCACCTGGCCACTTTCACAGGATGGCAGTGAGTGCCTGCAGCTTTTCCAGGCACAGGGTGCAAGCTGTCAGTGGCTCTGCCATTCTTGGGTCTAGAGGATGGTGGCCCTCTTCTCATAGCTCCTTCTCACTGTCCCACTGGGAACTCTGTGTGGGGGCTCCAACCCCGTTTCCCCTTTGGCACCACCCTAGTAGAGGTTCTCTGTGAGGGCTCTGCTCCTGTGGCAGCCTTCTGCCTGGACACCCAGGCTTTCTCAGCAGCTAAGTAGAGTTGTCACCCCTGTGGCCATTTGCTGCCTGAAGCCTATTTTCTCTATCTGTCTTCCTCTCTCATCTTTCTCTCTGTCTCTCTTTCCCCCCTTTTCTCTCATCTCTCTCTCTGTCTCTCTGTCTCCCTCTCTAATCTCTCTGTGTCTCTTTCTCCCTGCTTCCCATGTCTCTCCTCTCTCTGTCTCTGTCTGTCTGTCTGTCTCTCTCTCTCTCTCTCTCTCTCTCTCTTCTCCTCTCTTTCTCTCTTTCATTCTCTCTTTTCTCCCCCTTCTGGCTTTCCATCTCTCTATTTTTCTCTTGCCATCTCTCTCCCCCTCCCACTGTCTTCATTTCCTCTCTCTCTTTCTCCCCCTCTCTCTATTTATCTCTCTTTTCCTCCCTTTGTCCCACTCATCAACATTCACAACACAGCCGCCCAAGTTTGCCCCTGGGTTTAGTGAAGGGGAAACCTTTAGAAGAAGCAAAATAAGGCCTGCCAGCAGAACCTGAGCCATGTAGGTGACTCTTACACTCCCATCAGCACATAATGGAAGAAACAGAGCATCCCCTGGATCTGAGAGGGTCATGGAAACAGCAGGTCAGATTTGCTTTCAGGGGAAGAGAAAATCTCATGGAACTCAATGTTGGAGGGTAGACTGTTTTTGGTAGAGTTAATGCCTCAGAAGAACAAACACCCCCTTCCTGGTGCCTGCCGAAGTATCCCTTAGGGTTTTACCTTAATGGGAGGGCTTCTTGAAGTCCATTCATCTCCTCTGTATTAGTCTGTTTTCACAGAGCTAATAAAGACATATCTGAGACTGGGTAATTTATAAAAGAAGGAGGTTTAATTGACTCACAGTTCTGCATGGCTGGAGAGGCCTCAGGAAACTGACAATCATGGTGGAAGGTGAAGGGGAAGTGTATTAGTCTGTTTTCAAGCTGCTGACAAACACACACCTGAGATTGGGAAGAAAAAGATGTTTAATTGGACTCACAGTTTCACATGGCTGAGGAGGCCTCAGAAACACGGCGGGAGGTGAAAGGCACTTCTTACATGGCAGCAGCAAGAGAAAATGAGGAAGAAGCAAAAGTGGAAAGCCCTGATAAACCCATCAGATCTCATGAGCCTTAGTCACTATCACAAGAATAGCATGGGAAAGACTAGATTCAATTACCTCCCCCTGGGTTCCTCCCACAACACGTGGGAATTCTGAGAGATACAATTCAAGTTGAGAGGTGGGAGGGAACACAGCCAAACATATCAGGAAGCAAGGCACCTTCTTCACAAGATAGCAGGAAGAAGTGCTGAGCAAAGGGGGAAGAGCCCCTTATAAAACTATCAGATCTCATGAGAACTCACTCACTAACGTGAGAACAGCATGGGGGAAACTGCCCTCATGATTCAATTACCTCCAGCTGCTCTATCCCTTGATGCATGGCAGTTATGGGGATTATAGGGATTACAATTCAAGGTGAGATCTGTGTGGGAACACAAAGCCTAACATATCATCCCCTTATAGGAGTTAGGCATGATCTCAGGTGCTAGACCCAGACCACCTGGGCTTCAATTCCAGCCTTATTAGCTGTGGGACCTTGGGTGGCCTTTTATATTTCCTAAGCCTCCATTATCTCATCTGCAAAGTGGGAATGATAATAGCGCCTCCCTTGGAGACGTGTTATAAGGATTAGATGAAATAATGACTGCACAGTGTCAGCTCTCACCAAATACTGACCCTCATGGCGATGGTGGGGCATAGTGTCAGCTCTCATCAAATACTGGCCCTCACGCGATGGTGGGAGTTACAGGTGGATGAGACAAGCGTCACCTGGATGGCCTCCTTCAGGTCTCTGGTTGTCAGTCCCCCACCCCCAGAAGGCTTCCCAGATGCACTTGCTTTTGCCGTGCTACTTGGATGTGAAGATCAAGGCTGGGGCTCTCACGCTAGTCCACCCCACCCTCCCTTAGAGCCTGGATTCCATGGCTCTTCCCAATTCCTCCATCAACACGAGCCATAAGGAGATCCCACCTCTTGCTGAGGATACCAAGTTCACCCTGGAGCTGGGGAAATAACCAGTAAATGGATTCAGGATTGAGCCTACAGAAGGGCTAAAAGGTCTCACCAGGTCACTGCACCCCGACTTGACCTCATTCCAACTAGGGGACCATGGGGATGTGTGAGCCCAGAGCCAGGAGTCCGCACTGCAGGTACCTCCCCTTCCTCTGTGCACAGTCAAGCTATGAACAGCGTGGATTCCTTGGGAAAGTCTGGGGAAAGATCCCTACTGTGCACCTAGGGCTCCTTCCTTGTTCCTTCCAGGACCCCAGATCCCCCTTCAAAGGGCTT